AATTTCTTGTTTTAAACAGGCAGCTGCACCTTCTTTCAATATTTTTATTATGACTTTGTATTCTGATATCCGATTGAGGCGATTCAAAATGCGTTGGAAAGCTAACTCATCTGGCTACAATTTTGATTCAGACATCATTCTCCAATTCGATCACATTCTATGTCAAAAATATGTCTCAATATAACGGACTATGTAAGAAAATTTCTTGTTTTAAACAGGCAGCTGCACCTTCTTTCAGTGTTTTTATCATAACTTTGTATTCCGATGTCTGATTGAGACAATTCAAAATGCGTTGAAAATCTAACTCATTTAGGTACAACTTTGGTTCAGACATCATTCTTCAATTCGACCACTTTATATACCAAAAATAGGTCTCAATATAACAGACTATGTAACGGAATTTCTTGTTTTAAACAGGCAGTTACACCTTCTTTCAGTATTTTTATCATAACTTTGTATTCCGATATTCTATTGAGGCGATGCAAAATGTGTTGGAAAGCTAACTCATCTGGCTACAACTTTAATTCAAACATCATTATCCAATTCGATCAATTCCTATGCCAAAAATAGGTCTCAATATGAGACTAAAATACCGGAGCATAACTTTTCGGTTGAAAATTGATTTGTGATCATCTTTTGACTAAATTTGATCCCCTTGACATCTTCCTTTATCCAATTGACTCCGAGCACTCTCAAATCTTCATCGTGAGATTCGGCACAACTTTTAAGTATTTACATTTTAGCCCCTGAACTTTGGATCCCTTACAATTTAGCCATTTCTCCAAATTTGTCTACTTTTGCTTATTTTCTTCAATCTCACCAACCTACATCACAATATCAAAATCACACATCTAATTATTTATCAATTACATAAACATTACATCATTAATTATTTATAGGGTGTCTGTTTCTGCTTTTCAGCAGAAATCAAGCCGTTGGCAACACAATTCATGCCGTTGGGAGCCGCAATTTTGGACCAATTCTCTCACTGTAGGGCTGTAGGTTTGAAAAAAAAAAGGTAACATAATCAATTTTCCTTCCTCCTTGCAGCGCGCCCAGACACGCCCTTAATTAACCAAAAAAAATTACATCTTTATTAATAACAAATTAATTATTAAACAAAAATATTAAATATAAACTAAGCAAACGTGCATTGCACGTTGCTTTCATCTAGTAAATATTATAATTACTTAATAATTTTTGACATTTAGAAAAGTTGTGTTTTCAAAAATTAGATAATTGAAAATTGAAAGCACAATACTCTTATTTAAGTAAATGGGTCCAAAATAATAATTTAGAGGAGCAAGGAAAAAAAATTAAGGGGCTGTTATTTTCGTATTTCAATTTTTAGTTTTGAATTTATTTTAGGTTTTGTATTTTGAATGTCCATTTTGAGATTACTGAAAACGCGTTCTTTTTGTCATTTTCAAAAATTATTTTTAAAAATAAAAAAAAAATAATGTTTTGGCTTGGTTTTAACTGAAAACAGCCAAAACGAATTTTTTGGCGTTTTTCCTTTTTTTTTTCTTTGTAAATTTTAAATTTGTTTTTGAGAATTCGTTTCTAAAAATAAGTAAGTAAACGTGTCTTCAAAAGCTGAAAAATTAAAAATGACCTGAAAACAGCAAAGAGAACAGACCCTAAGTGTTTTAAAAAGTATTGTCGTATTACAAGATAGAAGAAATTATTTTAAAAAATTAGGGTATTTTCAAATATTCTATTTTTTGTTACGGTGCATGTAATTTTTAGAGTATGTGTGTGTGTAATTTTCTGTATCTTACCAATTTTATATAATTTTGTGTTTAATTTTTTTTTTCAAATATTCTACATTTAATAAATTACAATGATTGTAGCTTGAATTCTGTATTAGTTTACATCTAAACGATGTTACAGTGCAATTAATTTTTTTGAAATTGTAACTTACATTATGTTATTGTTGTTATAGTACTATAATTTTTTGAGAACTTAACTTACTAATCCATGGACTAGCATCACCTACCACTATGTCGCTGACGCAGCTACCAGCTTCCTAAATCATCGTATATATCCCAACCGTCATCACCATCTTTTATCAAAAATAACCACAAAACACTAAGTTGAAAATTACGCCCTTGTTTAGGAGAAATTTTAATCAAGATAAAAATGAAAGATTGGACAGTCGCTGGCTTGTTAGAGCCCTTTTTTTCTGACTTGCTTCTCACACTGAGATCCACTTACTGTCCAGCCAACGGGAAAAAAAAAAAAGACTTTTCACACTAAAGAAATTGTTGCCAAACAGGGTCGACATATATTTTAGCGAAAATTATAAATTTGTAATCGAAACCGCCATCACCACCACCTTGCCTCATTTGCCCTTAGTTAATATCTGTTCACTCAGAAGAAGAAAAAAAAGTCGTAGGTTGCTCACTTGCTTTTACACGTTGTTTCTCATCCACCATACTATTCGATTTCGTTCATCCACATTTTGTCCTTACATTTTTTACATATTTCTCGTCCAATGCATTTTAGTGCCAAATTGTAGAACTGGATGGAAGATTCTAAAACTTTTTCTTCTTGTATTGTTATACCTCGTATGAAATCTTTGTATCGTCATATAAATGATGCTATGCAAATAGATAGAATTGAGCACATATGTTAAATACTGACATTTTGAGTTGAAATTTCCTCAAACTTCAAATAATAGTTCTTGCAAAGAATTCATATACAATATACAAGCATCATATCTACGACCACGTTGGCTTGGATTCTCCCACTCGCACTTGCTCTCGCTCTCATCCTCCATGTGGATTTTTTTTGTTCAGGTGGACGAATGTGATTGAGATAAACGCTCACAAACTAATCTTAACCACTAAACACTGATAACAAAAAAAAGTGGGAAGGGGCGGTTTCAAGAATAGGATTAACGCCGAATAGAGTGGTAAACAAGATACTATAATCAACCCGACACACAAATGTCAATTGTCATTAAAGCTTGAACAAATATAAGTTAATTTACAATACACAACCAACTTTGAAAGAAGTACAAAGCCAATTAGTCACAATGACAAGTGTAGTCTATCATCGACAACCATCAGGGAAATCCATCTCCAAAAAAACTTTCTTGAAATTATTAGTGTCCAGAGACGCATCCTTAACTCTTCGATTTAGAATGCTTGACTAGCCAGTCAATAACCTGGTCAATGTTTGTTGAATTCTTGCACGAGATCATAAAGCAGCACACCTCTCTATCAGTGATAGATTTCAAATCCCTACACAACATAGTGCCGTGTCTAATTACCAAATGCAGAAGCCACAGAAACAAAAACCCGTCACATGCAAACACGCATACGTTCAAAAGAAAAAAAAATGCACGTTAAAATATAAACAGCACACTGGGGTCTGTAGGCAGGGAGTGAGGAGTAGGAGTAGGAGAGAGCGACGATTGAGTGTAGTTGCCTGTCTCCACTTACATTTGATCAGTCAAAGCCTGCTTCGATAGAGCTTGAGGTTTGTCGATCTTGTTTCCTAATACCAGCAAAGGAATGCCACTGAGTGATGGTTTGCTAAGCAGATCGTGAAGTTCACTTTTGGAGATGCTGACATTGTCATGATCAGCAGCGTCAACAACGTAACTGTATCAAATCAGATAACAAAAGACTAATTTTCCATCTGGGAAGAATTTATAAACGGTTTAATTTATAAATAGATAGAAACGAGTGGTACATGAGTGGATAGTCCTCATGGGTCTATCAGAATATGTTGGTTTAAAATGAAATTTGACCATTTATAAATTTTGCCAAATAAAGGGCAAGTAAATTATCGTTACATTAAATTTTAGACTTGACCCATGTATAACAAGAATAAGTGATTTGAATTCGAAATGACTGAAGGGTTTACAGATGAATCCTTAATAAGAACGAATCTTTATACTCCTGGGGGTAGTGTTTTTATGCTATTCAGTTACGTTTATTTTACCAATGACGTGCACAGTAGAAATTTTTTAATATGAACAAGACGCACATTTGGTGGAAATAGAGAAGTCATCAAAAATCTCATCAAAGATTTGAGAAAAGGGGTGGGCGGTTATAAGCGTACGTTAGTTATGTCATTTACACTACAGCCAGAAAGCCAAAAGAAAACACAGATCTAAGCCAAGTATGTTGGAGTTAGTTTCATACACAATAGCAGAAACTGCACGACAATATCGCTCCCACATGCTCCGGAATCTGGGTTGACCTCCAAGATCCCACAACTTTATTGTGACATTCCCTTTGGTGACCTTCCGCATATTAAATCCTACCTGAAGGATGGAAAAACGTCTATAGTAAATAACCAAATATATAATCAACATGAGCAAGATCTAAAGTAGCAGAGAAAGAAGGAAACCTACCGTAGGGATCATGTCTTCACTGTATCCACCAGTCTAAGAAAAACGAACAAAAATGTAAATCCAATGTTTGACCGACTAAAGATAAAGGTAAGCAAACAGTTATCAAAATGAGTGGAAAGATGATGAATATAATATTGCGTGCTTACAGCGACAACATTTACAAGTGAAGTTTTCCCAGCATTTTGAAGACCTATCAAAGAAAGCTCCATTTCTTGCTTGAAGAAAAGGCTGTACCATATAAACAATCATGCAAGTCCATTAATTTGAAAATTTTCATTTAACAATTAAAACGATACAGTTAACTGAGATATATTTGGTCATAAATGCTTCTCCAAACCACTAATTCTTGAAACTTAAAACACTCCCCTATAGACAAAGAATTTGTTTCAAGAGTCACCTAGACATTTGTTACAGAAGCCTTACATAAGTAGATTCAGTCAACATATCAATAAGAACGTTGAGAATTACGATGACATCCTCCCTAACTTCACCATAAGGTTCGACCGGTCCACTAGGACCAGTAAAGTTAACCTGAAGTCCCCCCCCCCCCCCCCCCCCCCCTCCTTCATGACGAGCAGGGCCAAAAGAGAATGAATCATTAATTTCATAGTCCTATACCTTGTTAGCGGATGGAGCACTTAAAATTGTTAAACGATAGAAAGATAATCTGCAAACAAAGTTTAATGTATTGGCAGGAACTCTAATGGACAATAATAAATAGGCAACAAAAGATCACCAGAATTTTCATCAGCTCAACATGTAAAATAATTAATTTTGAACTGCTATTCAATAAGTCATCTTTTCTGGAATTGCACACAGTAAAAAATTAAGTGACAAATGAGAGTATTGTCAACTAAGAGTCCTAAAAACCACGTCCAAAATTAAATACACATATATCCATCAATCACTTCAGAAGTTGAAGACAAATGAACTCGCGAGAGTTTCCCTCTTTTGAACCACTCAAAAATGATGCATCGTGCATAAGATTGGCATCTGAGGGTTGATGGGCAATCCCAATGCAGTGAGCTAGAAGGATAAATTGGTCAATATGATATAAAGTCTTCAATCTCAATCCACATATTATTTTCCCCGGTTAGAGATAAAACGTAGCAAAATAAATTAACAAGTAGAAATGAAGTGAAGCTTGATTTTATTTCCTTATGAAGCTCAACTTGAATAAAGGTTAACTACACGAGTTTGATTTGACATTTTATGATTTTATCTGCCTAACGATGCTGAGGTTCCTGGGAATAGTAGCATCACTAGTGATGCAATCATGGAAGTATATTTTGCGGAGAAATGACATATACAAATGGTGTTTGTATGTCACCACCTCTTTATAGAACCCAACCCTTGTGTATGGGCAGAAATAGGTGCAAATCTTGTACCCCTGGTGCATTTTATACTTGATTATTTCCATGAAGTGTGGCTGTGAACTTGTCAATCAACAAGACATAAAAAGAGAAATCATTTCTTCTCAACCATGTCTATAACTACTAACACATTTATGGCAACAATAAGACAATTCTGACTGAATCTCGTTGTATTAGATCATCAAATTCCTCTTTTCAGATTGCAAGAAAAAGAGAAGAAGTCTTTCCTGATAAATAAGAAACAAATATAAATGCTTCAATTAGTGACACAAGATCAGTTAACAAAGATAACAAGCTCGTAAATTCGATTACTATAAATGCCAACAGAATAATTCTATCTAACAAAACAATCCTAAATCTTCATTTTTATCTAATTCTAATTGTAGTATTCCAGCATTGATTTTGTATAGAGTAATTAATCCACACAAGTTTCCCATACGAACATAACAATAATCCCAATAAAGTAGATGACAAAACATAAAGATACGAAATTCCAATCAGCGCAACAATTTAACAAAACAAAAACACATCGGAACGGAAAACCTCCAAACAATCACACAAACTCGGTCAATGAGCTAAATAAATGCTCAAATTCCTCAAAATTGATCTGTTGTTTAGCAAGCCCACTATAGTTTCCGTTTATTACAATAAAATTTACATACAATACTAACCTCCTAAGCCAATTGAGAAAAGCTTCCCATATACCCATTTCTTAATCGCAAGGACTCGAAAACGAGATAGATCACTTCTCTCTATCTTCTCTCAATTGACCTTTTTCAAAAACAAAAATCGCCTTCTCGCCACTTACTACCGTGTATTGATTGATGATTACAGATTCTTATCGAGTGTAGGTGGAAAGGAACAGGAAAAGACGATTTATTACCGTAGGCGACAATTTGGAATGTCTTTATTGTCCCCAGAATACGACAAAATCTAATGTCAGTAATGTAATCAAAATCTCTTCAATAAAATAATTTAAAATATTATGTAAAAATAACTACACGATTTTCATTGGTCAGATGGATTTAGTTATTTTTTTAATATTTAATTATTTCTTGAATCTGTGGATGAGTTTGTGGACGGTGAAAGGCGCCTGTATGAAGTGCCATAGTGGCTCGTTTTAATTGGCTGAGCTGCTGAATATTTTAATAGGAAAAAAAAAAGAAGAAGAAGAAGTTGTTTGTAGTGTCCCACATTGTGATTATCTTGTTATTAGATTAACAATTAATTTGGGGGATTATTTTATATGTATGAGATTGGAAATAATTGAAATTTAATGAAAAGACAAAATAGTTAAACAATCTCCTGTTAGATCATCTCTAAGAAGCTCTTTATTTTAAAAGTCGATCCTTAAAGTCATAGTTCAAGAAACACTTTAAATTAATATTTTAAAATAGAGAGCAAATTTTGAAGAATTGGTCTAAATGTACCGAATGGGAGTACCGAATGGTGCCCCCCCTGCACGGACCCCATGTATATTTAAAAATTCCGATTTGTAATTCCCATCTCCTGATGTGAGTGGGGTGTAAAAGATTGGGTATAAAAATTCCATACATATAACAAACATAACCCAGTTTTGAGAGTGTTTTCAAGAAACTCTTTAAACATAAAATGATCTTTTTAAATAGTCAATTCTTAAAATTATGCTCTAAAAGACTTTTTAAATTAACATCTTAATTTAAAGAGTTTGTTTGACCCTCCAAATAATTGAATGCAATGTATTTCAATTTTCAATGGGGTAAAATAATCTAACAATTTAGAGAAAAGTTGATCTTAGAAGACATTGATGAGTTGGATTATATAGTAATAAATAGAAGGCGATTTTAATTATTACCAAAAAATTGAAAATCCCGCATACTTTATATCCAGAAAAGTTTGCAAACTCAGAATGCAAATTTCCCATATAAATGATGTTTTAGTAGGCGAAGTCATGCTTGCGTGCCTGATGCCTCAAACTTGACAACGTCTTTGAAAAATGAGATTAAAAAAATCGCAATTCTCACATCACATATCAAAATCTGTCAATTATCAACAATCTTGAAAATAATCCTGAGAATGCAAGTGTATCTATACGAGTTGTTGTGAAACTTGTAAAAAAGCAGAAGCCCAAACACAGTGGTCAATTACCACCAAATCCTATAGAAACTTCTCTCAAATCCAAAGGAAATACAAGTTAATTTACACTGCACAGCCAACTAAAATATCCTGGTGTGACCAAATTGTACTTGGATTGGAAGAAACTAAAGAACAATTCATGCTGGTTTCCCACTGCAAAATCCAATACAGATGTGTATGGACTAGGTCTAAACTCCAATTGCACCCGCTGTTTGGCTAAACCAGTCACAGTATAAACTGTGCATGTGATACTGGATATTTGAAAATCTTACCAAGCAGAAAAATCTTTAAGTTCTCCAGTTGGCATGCCTAATTTTCGTTTCTTTACTGTAGGACCTGCTGGTATATCACTGTCAAGAGCAGTGGTAGATGAAACCTGACTAATCCTTGCTTGCAAATATTTTCCGACGCCATCACCCACAGCAGGAGTCCCAGTTGATCCTGTAACTGGATTGCTGTACCATGAACCAATCTTGTCCTGAAATGTTATGAAAACGACATAAACTTATGAATGAGAAAGGATAATCTAAGTTAAGTGAAGAAAAAATAATAATTGCAATGTTGAGGAATTCTAAAACTAACATTTTCTTCATCCTCAGTATCCTTCTCATTATTGGCCTTCTCCTTCTCCTTCTCCTCCTCTTCATCAAGTTCAGTATAAGGATTGACATAGACATCTACACTGATAATCTTAATCTCTTCCTACACAAGCACCACAAATAAGGGAAAAAAAAAAAGGAAAGAGAACATCATACCAAAGAATAAAAATTCCGAATTTTAGGCTCAGTCTTTATAAAAGTGAATAAATATTACTGAGAAAAGAACGAATTTATAGAATGGAGATAAAACAGCAGTGAATTGGAGTCTAAAGATGAAATAATAATAATAAAAAAAAACACAGCTAAAGGTTGACTACTAACCAAAGGTCGGTCATCATCATCAACAGGGACTTTCTCCATTGCTGAAAGTGTTGTCAAACCTCCAACAACCATACCAAAAACTGTGTGCTTGAAGTTTAAATGATTTGCGGATTTGTACAGTATGAAGAACTGAGAGCCGTTAGTGTGGGGACCAGAGTTTGCCATGCTAACAATGCCCCTTCCAGAATGAAGTAACTTAGAGTTTAGTTCATCTTTGAAGGGCTTCCCCCATATCGACTCACCTCCTGTTCCAGTCCCAGTTGGATCACCGCCTTGAATCATGAAGTTTCTGCTTATCAGGGACAACAGAATCCCTTTATGTCAAACTTCGATACAGCAATAATTAAATTTGTAAATGCCATGTCACAGTTAAACTGCTATTTGATGTACCTTATGTTTCTATGAAAAGCAACTCCATTATAATAACCACGTTCACACAGAGTGATGAAGTTTTCACATGTCCTTGGAGTAATATCGCAATGTAGTTCAATGTTCACATCACCATGGGAAGTCTGCAGCCGAATATAGCCTTTCTTCTTTGGATTTTTCTCAACCTTTATGTATTCATATTCATTTTTCGTGACGGGGTCAAAAGATGTAGAAGTAAAAGATCTTGAAGCAGCACCAGTTGTGTACCGACTTTTAACCTGCATGGGTCTCAAAAAGAATAATGAGTTCTCAAGAGTTCTGCAATTCCCAAGGATATGAACTTCTAAATTAGAAGGAAAAACAGGACAAAGCTGAAGGTGCTCTAATGATAACGAAGCATATACAGTGAAGAGAAAATCAATCAAATTTAAGGCAAACAATGTGACATAGCATACTGTCGCTATCTTCTTTACTTTCTCTGGAACTGTAAGTATGCATACTCTCAATAGCTCACGGCTAAACAGCGATTCCCTTAGAAAATTGATATGAAAGAGCATCTAGCCAATCCTGTGTAATCACTAAAAGACACAGTGATATTGTCATTTGATATTATTTTTCATTTTCCGTGACAACAATCATTTAGATGGAATTTTTACCACCGAGTTCTACAATCAGTTTATTCTTTATATTCATTACAGTCTTGCTTTTTTTACATAGCACTCCTAAAAGGTCAAGGTGGGTTCACAATCCTAGAACTGAAGGGCGGTGCTCCATTACCAATTGTGACTATTTTCAACTTGAATATCAGTTAGAGCTGTGTGCGACAATGCTTACTCTCATGATCCACCTCTGTTTGCAACAGATGGTAGAACTAGAGTTGAACTAAGCATTTTAACCTTAGCAGGTCGCCTAAAACAATTCAGATTTTTGTTACTTGTGTCATTGGTAGAGTAACCCCAACTTTGTTTCCAAGGTATAGATAAAGATAAAAATAAAAATAAAAAATGATTCTCCACCTGCTACTATCTCTATAAATAGATCGTCATAGACAACTTGGAGAAGCATGGGATAGTATACATCAAAGTGATTCATTATTTTTATACAATGACAATTGAGTATCAAACTTCTTACCTGATTGTTCATGAAAGATTTATAATTAAGTGTGCAACATGTATCTATGCGTTCCAAGAGAAAAATGCGAATGTGATTGTCAAAAATGAGATACAAACCAGCTTTGCATTTACTGCTGTCCTCTCACCAGCCATATGCATGGCTATCCGTGCAGCCGTTTTATTACTAGAATCAGACTTCGCAGAATTGGCACTTCTTCCATGAACTGCAGCAGAGGCAGCATCTACTATACTGAATGCCTGCTTGGGCTTCTCACCACTCTTTGATTCTGTGTCCTCCTTGATACGTGATCTTGCAGCTAAAATGGCAGCAAGAGCGACAGCTCTTTCATTTTGCGCCTTGTTTCCACCTCCACCATGTAATGCAATCTCCTTTCCTCTTTCAGTGCCAAGCTCCTTAAGCATTTGCTTAATGTCCCCACTAACATTTATGTTATAAGTTGGATCAGACTCCATTTTCTTTAGTTCTGGCAAAAAGAAGCAAAACAATTGATAATTGATCGGAAACACATAATAGAGCTGTCCCACTAAGGATATGTAATGTTATCACCCACCTTCATCATCAACTTTTAAATTTTTCTTGACGTGATCAAAATCCAAGAGAACCTTGCTATCAAGTGCATTAGGATTCTATATGGTAAGATAAGGTATGTTAGAGACTTATTAACATTGTACTGTGCAACAAAATTGAAAATTTAAAACTGCAAGCCAAGAGGAAATACACTGAAGTGGATTTCTACCTGAATGGTTATAATGTCTTCCCTGGTGAATGGTTCATCAGTGAGAAGCTCATTCCAGTTCTTAGTTTTAGGGTTTAATTCTTTGATTACCTATGCAGCAACAGAGACCAAATGAATAGAAATAGATACAAAAAAGAAAGTGGTAAAGGTAAAGACTTACGATAAGACAAGGATCTTAGCTCATAACAGAACACATTTCCTGTAGTCTTCACAGCAATTATATGTGTGAACTATGTGAAAACCTTGTTCAGCACAGGGAAATGAGACTCTCCTACAAAATGAAGAGGAGGATGCGACACAATTAGTGACAATAAATATAGACGAAAAAGATTAGTGAACAGAGACAGGAAATATGTATATTTAAAACATTTAAACCAACTTTAATTATTTCTTTAAATATCAATATGAATCACAGGCATCATCAAGTTTGAGGCAGTGAAGTACAAATCAATTAAAGGTTATAGAGAACATACTTCCCCTCTTACAATCTTTTGTCTATTCTATTATTTGAAACCATATCAGGATGTCTTAACCCCGCTGTTTCTTTCTATTTGTCAACAGCCAATTCCAGATAGCGGCACATCAATTCATGTGTGAAATTGACATGGAACTGGGGTTTATAAAGTATAATCCTATAGAACATTGTGAAAACAATTGCAGATTCTTTCTAAACTAATTTTAAACATAATATGATGACATTTTTCCCCGTTGCAGTTAATTAGAAAAGAAACAAAAAGTTTCGCGGTGTCTTATTCAATCCTTGTTTGAGATACATTAAAATTTTCATTATCATTCTTCTACTCATTTTCAACCATACATTCTTCAATAAAGTAATATTTTCCATCACATCAATAACTTTTCCTTCTTTTTTAACCACACATTCTCCCTCAATCTACTATTCTAAAATACAATCTTCCAAAATAATGTGGCTCAAACACACCCCCAATTGAAAAGATCAAATCACTTGTGAATACATGAAAATGACATAAACTAAAAATTAGTTCCATAAATAAATAATTATGGAGATTTTTTGGTTTTTTATTTTTCTAGAACAAAAGGTGATTTTATTACAGTAGAACACATGGGAGTCTCCATCTTGAACGGGAGTGACTCTTTTAATCCTCTCTCCTCAAATTGCTCTTATCATCAACACCCTCACCTCTTTTTCAGTTATCTCCACTTGCTCAAATCTACTTATAACCACTGTCACCACCTTGCTCTGCTGCCAGAGTACCACGACCAGAAGCCTCACCACCCTTCTCTACAGCATCCAAAACCACTGAACTCAGATCAATGTCTCTACCCATCCTTTCATTACTATGTCTACAACGCCCCCCACCCCCTCTCTTCCCCTCCCCTGGCAGTGACATATAAATTGATGGATGGAAACATTGCTCAAATGGCTCAAATTTCCCACAGATTTATCTCCATTATCAAAATTGTCAAGGGTTAGTGACCCCATGACCCACCAGATTTATTTATTTATTTTACATCCCATCATCCAAAACTTGTTCTCAGTTTATAAACTTTGTTTTTACTTCTGTTTTGCATGTCTTTTAAAGCTGCAAATAGCTTTTTAAACAACAAGTGCACTATTGCAGCATAGTGATGCCAAGATGATTAGTCCCATTAATGTGTTGAACATAAAGGCATATTCTAAGCCATCTTTCCAGCCAACTGCACCCTGCAAAGATGGATTTGTGAATTTCCCTTGTTCCCCCAGAAGGATAACGTACCCATACTAGCTCAGATATCCTCCATATTGCTGGTCAACTTCATCGTTAGGTGAAGCAGAGTCTAGATGTCTGTCTACATTTTGATACCCAAAAGGTGGATCTGTATTTAAGTAGAGTTGCAGTTGTTGATTATTTATAGGCACTCTCAGTCCATAAATGGCATAGCTAGTTCAGATCTTTTTCCCAATGTTGATTGTTTACCAAGAAACATAGGGAAGTTGAGAAAAAAGGATACTGAATCCCATACCAAAGTAAAGATGAGACATTGCATATGAATTCAAAACGTTTTTAAGGACTTACTAAATAGTTAATAATTGAACACCGAAACCTAACGGCAATTTTCCTCGAATTATGGATATGGCATGTAGAAGTGTTTCAGTTGTCAACTAATATTCACAGTTCAAGAAGTAAAACAATTACATCTATAGAAATCCAATCTCATTTTTCAACTTCCTAGATCACACACAAAGGGAGGGGGGGGGTGGGGGGGGTTTGTAAAACCCTCAAACAAACATGAGAAGAATAATCGATATTCCTTTTGACCCTAAACTATGTCCAAACTCTATGAGCTATAAAACTTGCTTGCACTTGGTCCAAAAGAATGACTGAAATAGCAATGGACTAATAACAAGTTTAAGCAATAATCCAAGCAGTGATTCTAATTGTAAGGAATAATAGAAAGATTGATATCTTATTTGTTGAAGGTTCTTGGAGCGAATGTAACAACAAGAAAATCCATCGCATCTTGTGCAATACCTGCAGCCTATTTTAACACATAACTTTACAGCAATTATTCATCACGGCATTAAGTAGATATCTTTTAACTGATGAGCAATGACCTTCAGCAGTAAAGTGACACTGGCTGTTAACAGCAAAATCCTACCCTGAGCATATTTGCACCACTCAATCGCTTACTAAAGAAGCTGCTCAAAGAACTTGAAAGTACATCTAATTGTAAGGCAGCTAATAAATTGGGCAATAAGCTCATTTGAAAATATTCTTGTTATGCTTATCTTTTTTCCTTTTTTCCAGTGACTCAGTTTTTCCAAGTTCAACTCTCTCACATCTAATCTTTTCTCAAATTCAAGTTGCAGGGTGAATTGCTTCTATGTCATTGACATAATCCAATGCATTGCACACATCTAATGCAGCAACTGAACCTCCATTCTCAAAAAATGAATGATAAGAATTCATAAATTCTAAATGAGACAAATAATAACCTTCAGGATTCTTGTGAAAAGTAAGCGGTATCAAGTCCTCCTGCATAAGCGGAGCCCCGGTATCTGGATGCTTCCCAAATTTCCTGATGTATGGAATTATATTCCTAAACACCACATTTGGAAACCAATGTAATGCTCAGAATCCAATCATAATTCAAATCAAAGCAAAGGAAAACCAAGGAGCACATAATCACTACACTGCACAAACACTCACATAATATCGAAAACGGTGCCATCAGCTGTGCAAACAGGGTCTTCGAATGGCGTAAAAGTTAGCCTGTAACAAAAGTCAGCAAAAAAAAATTAATTTAAAGAATAAGGAAATTACATAAATGCAGATTGGGGACGAAGTTCTTACGCGCAGCAATAAAAAGGGAGGCGTTTGAAGGGGGTCCCGGTTTCTTTAGATTTGGCGCCGCCCCACTCGGTGGCCCACTCTGTCTTCGTTATGAACATTCGATCTTTGCTGTGCTGTTATGGCTGTGGAATACTTTGGATTAAATTTCTGGTGCCTTCCTCCTCTTCCGCAATAATTTTCCTGCTGGTCCAAATTTTTTTACCACAGTAACCTTCCAACACCGAAAGACGAAATTTCCTTAAAATGTTATACAAATTACAAAAAAATGGTATTATTTAAAAAACAATAATACCGTTTTTAAGTAATAAAGAATTTCAAACATTTCCCACTTAAAATTTCGAAATCAATTCACTTTCTTTATCTGTCTACTCCAACACAGATAAAAATAATTTTATTTTTCATCTACTTCAAATTTAAAAATAGATAAATTTATCAAACGCTCAACAAGGAAATATTATTCACAGTTATCAGTGATATCGGTAAGTATATTTTTACATATTTTTAATTTCGATTCACTTAAGTACATTTTTTTAATCTTTAACTCTTATGTATATAAAAATTTTATGATCTTAAAATAGACCTATAATCGATTTTTTTTAATAAAAAGAGAAAAAAATTCATTTGCATGAGATTTTCAGATCTATGGTAGAAGAAAAACTACCTGGACGTCCGGGCCTGGATTGCCGGAAGTCCAGGGATGGTCCGGTAGTCCGGGCACGGACTGTCCGGACCATCCCCGAGGACTTAATGGCTTCGGCAGAGGAAAATTACGCTATATTGGCTAAATATTGCCACAATATAGAGAAAACTAATCCCGGATCGGTATTTTATATTGATACGGAGGACGGGAATCCCTTCAAGTATTTTTTCATAGCCCTTGGACAGTGCTTCGAGGATTTCGGAAAGCGATGCGACTCGTAATTCTAGTCGATGGTACAACCCTTAAGGCCAGATACGAAGGCAAGTTGATTATTGCTACGTGTCAAGATCCCAACATCCAAATTTACCCTCTTGCGTTCGGTATAGTCGATGGAGAGAATGATTTAGCGATGCGTTGGTTCTTCACGAAGTTGAGGGAAGTAATTGGAGACGTCGAGAACCTTGCATTCGTAACTGACCGGGGGCAA